GAGATGGAGTCTCTCTGTCACCTAGGCTGGAGTGCAGTGGCACCATCTTGGCTCAGTTAAACCTCCGCCTTCAGGGTTCAAGTTCTTCTACTGCCTCAGCTTCCAGAGGGAGCTGGGACTACAGGTGCACGCCACCGCACCCTGGCTAATTTTTCTATTTTTAGTAGAGATGGGGTTTTGCCACGTTGGCCAGGCTGGTCTCGAACTCTTGACCTCATATCCACCCGCATGGCCTCCCAAAGTGCTAGGATTACAGGCGTGAGCCACCGCGCCCCTTCTGCCATGAGACTTAATAGGAATTATTAACAAATTGGCTTTAAGAAATTTATTTAAAGGATTTTTTCAATGAGACAAGTTTTATTTTTATATTCTGGAACATTTGAACTTGTCAATAAACATAATAATTTCAACTATTTACATTAACTGAAATAAAACAACTACCTTTTCTTTGTGATATGTAAAACTGTGGTGCATTTTGCAATCAGTGACATTTTAGATCCAAAGAGATGCATCTTATTTTTCAGAAAAGGGAACTGAGGCTGAGGTGGGTGTAGTTTATACACTGAATATAAACTACACTTACACACTTATGTAAAGCGTATATACACTTTTACACTTCTATAAACTACACTTATGTCAGTGTATTTTAATACACTGATTACAGTGTATTTTAATCCCTGGGCAAGATTGGCACTGGTCCTACCATCTTCTGATGTCGGATTCATTGCTATTTTTACTGCACCATTTGTAGTATTATTAGGTCATACGATTTGCAGTAAACTACAAAGAAAAAGATAAAGACCTCAACCCTGCCATTTTACAATTATATTTCTGAGTTCTGCTCATTTGACTGCAACATCTGAACAGCACACACTAAGTAGAAAGTTGACCTTGTTCTTTTTCTTTTTACTCACAGAAAGGGCACATTCGGTGATGTGACACAATTGAAAGTCAAAAACCACAGGTCATTTCCTCTTCATGAATTTTGCTCTAATTAAAAAGAAGAAACTCATCCTAAATCCTCACATCCTCTTTAGCAAGGAACAGAGGAGTCATTTAGAACCACAGCATCAATGACCAGCGTCACCTGATGTGCACTTGATGAACAAAGGTTATCAACCTGGGCTGCAGGTTGCAATCACAAGAGCTTTTAAAAACACTAGTGACTGAGTCCTGCCCTGGAGATTCTGCCTTTGTTATTTTTGTTGTTTTTAGACAGGGTCTTCACTTGGCTTCACTTGGTTGCTTAGGCTGATCTGGAACTCCTGGGTTCAAGTGATCCTTCTGCCTCAGCTTCTCAAGTACCTGGGATTACAGGTGCTCACCACTGTGTCTGGCAAGAGATTCTGATTTAATTGTCCTGAGTGCAGCTGGGGTGTCTGTAAGATCTCTTTTTGCATTCTCTCTCTCTCTCACTCTCTCTCTCTCCCTCTTTTTCTCTCCATGCCTCCTGTGAACTCTTAGCCTTTATAAGATCTTTGGGCTTGTCAGCACCCTTCTTTCTTTCCTCTCTTTTCCATCAGACGCACTGTATATCAGGTGAAGCTTATTTCGAGTTCCCCACCAGGCTCCTTTCTTTGCTACTACCTTCCTTTTATGGTAGAAACGTAGAATACTACGTTTCTTCATAATGTGCTCACTGGCTCCCCAAGACCCTTTCTAAACGTCCCATTTACAATTCCAAGGATATTTAAAGACTCACCAGTCTGGGTTTTATTTCTTCAGGGCTCTGCTAACTCCACAAACTAAAATATACTAGAACAGTATTTTTCAAGCTTTCTTAGTGATAGATTCCCAGACTCAACTTCTTAAAGTTTCCAGAGGATTGGCTTCTGCCCGTGGATTCAAAGGATCATCTGGCATGTCATCCATATGGCCTATCTGTGTTTTAATAGCTACTTTTAATGAAATGAGAAAGTCACTCTGGTAGAGCTGATGTGAGATATTTTGGTGCTTGGAGCCCTTTCACAGCAACCAGTTCCCTAAATTTCATGTTTTGTTTTATGGTAGGGAAAAAACCATGTCAGAGATGAACTTCTTAATTTCTTGTAATTACTACAAATTTACCTCTATATACACTCATCCTATTTTCTGGTATCAGAGAAGAGATGTTATTTGTATGGAAAAAACTTGTGCCCAGGTGGAAAATTGTATTGTCTGGAAAAACCAAAAGCTGATTCCCATTCAATGGAAACTATTTTACAACTCTGTAGATTGTAGATAACTGATGGCAGTTAATAATTCCTATTTATAGCTGTCCAAATTCTCTCCTGACTGGACGTTCAATTCACTTCTTTTCACCACTGTGGAAGAACCCAGTTTTTCCCCTATTTGCACATTCAATCTTTTTTCCACATAATTTTTTAATTTTTCTTTTGAATTAGTTGTAACATCTACCATGTTTCTGCATTGATTCATGATAAATAAAATCTTTAACATGTGCTTATTTTAATCTGTGTGAGAGGCATGATTTTACCTGCTTTTTAAAAAATTTTCTTTTTGTCTGAGTGCGGTGGCTCACGCCTATAATCCCAGCACTTTGGGAGGCCGAGGCTGGCAGATCACCTGAGGTCTGGAGTTCGAGACCAGCCTGAGTACATGGAAAAAACCCCATCTCTACTAAAAATACAAAATCAGCCAGGTATGGTGTTGAATGCCTTTCATCCCAGCTACTCAGGAAGCTGAGGCAGAAGAATCGCTTGAACCCGGGAGGAGGAGGCGGTTGTTGCACTGAGCTGAGATTGTGCCATTGCACTCCAGCCTGGGCAACAAGAGCGAGACTCCATCTCAAAAAAAAATAATAATAATTAAAAATTGTCTTTTTAAAAGTTTGGAGGTCTTCCACTGAGTTGTCTGTGGATTCATCTAACAAAACTGGATGTACTTTTCACCAGAGAAGTTTGTGCGCTGCTTAAAGCCCAGACACATTTTTTTCTTGGCTCCCAAATGACAATAGAACTCTGCTGACTCTTGTTTTTCTAATTTTAATATTTTTCTCTATTAAGTTTGTGGTTTGTCTTTGCTTTGTTTCCAGCCAGTACATCTGCTGTACTGGCTGGAAGCAATGATTGGGAATTTCATGTCTGATCATTTGGTAAACTCTGTGAATGGATTAATATTTATAAAGATCTGGTCTTTGTTGGGTGAGAGACTATAGATAAATTAGTTTATTAGTCTTGTTTGTATACCTTTTGTCCATTTTGGGCTCTGATCAATTAAGAATATTGTGCCCACCAAGAAGGAGAATAGTTCTTTGATATCTGAATTGGTAAATTTTTTGTGCTTCTGTGTTTATTGACCTATGAGTGAAATTTTAGAATTGAAGCTATAAACTCTATGTCTGTGTGTTTGTAATTCAGAAAAGTCTTTATCTCTCATTATATGAGTGTGTATTGGTTTCCTAAATCAAGAGGGTGTTAATAATTTAGATTATAAAATCTCCTGCATTAAAGGAGTCTGGTTCTGATTGGTTTAAG